GTAGAGATAGCAAAAGACTGCCTATTCATCGAACGTAATAAATCATTTATGGGTGTTCATGAAAACCGAGGAGTCCTTGAAACTACGTTAGCAAATTGCGTGTAATAGGCAATTCCCATGTTTTCATGGTAACAGGCTTAGTAGGTCAGAAATAGAATTGAGAAGGTATTTACGAAGAAATTATTCCATTCTTCGTTCGTTCGTTACAGCCGAAAGACGTCCACTGCTGGACAAAGGCCTCCCCCAAGGATTTCCACAAAGAACGGTCCTGCGCCGCTCCATTTCACCGGTCCATTCTATAAATATACCAAAAATATTCTTCAGACGGGCTGCGGTCGTAGTGGAAATCCATGAGGAGGCTATTTGTCCAGCAGGAGACGTCATTTGACTGAAACGAACATATTCGACGATATCTGCAAAGTACAAACATTTTGTTAAGAGAGCACATGCTGTCTAACATTATTCTATTGTCTAAAAAATTTAATCAATACACTTTGAACAACAAACATGATTCAAAACGGTTATAAGATAAACTCAAACGTTTATTTTGGAAGGATCTGTTTCCCTAAAAATATATTGTTACTTTTTCTGATTTTTTCTCTATAGTTTTGGCATCAAATGGATTGAAAATAATCCTTTGGCTCTTCCTTTCATTTCATCAAATATTTTAACACTGCTCTTTTGATAACATTTTAATTATACTTCTAATGTCTTGTTTCTTCAAGACGTGTGTCCATACTTGCCAATAGCTATCCACCACACGTCAACGTATCAACTAACATCTCCAAGTTGCCTATTGTCAACAAGCACATGTGTTTCCAGCGTCGATTGAAGAGCCCGCCAGTCCAGAACTCGAGCCTACCTCAAATATTGTGCGAGAACTTTGGTACGGATAACCACTATGTTGATCTTAGCACAATGCATTATTACTAAGCACAAGTCTGTACCCCCAGTGAAAAGGGATCTAACTCGACTTAGATCAAAATCGACTTTATAACATAATGTGAATCTCTGAAAAATTAGCTATTTTTGTATCTAATCGGTATGTTTCTACGACGTATAGAAAAGAAAATAATTTTGTGCCAAATGATACAAGTAAGGCTTTGTGAACTTTTCTTTCGTGTATATTGATACATGTCTACTTTTAACAAAGTGTACCGGAGGCTTCTTTCACTTTTTTGTTGTGTCAAGAGGTATNAGAAGTTACGGTGTAGTTGGGTCAGATGACGTCACAGATATATCACTTTAATCTACATTGCAGGGTGTAAAAAAGTGAGCAATTCCGCCTCGAGGCTTCAAAAATAGGACTCGACGCCTCAAGTCTTGTACATCACTAGTTAGTAATGCTTAAGCTGTAAGGAATCCAACTGCAAATGATAATAAAAACGCGAATTTTCTTCGCCATACAATATACAGGGTGGAAACGATGAGTGATCTCACTTGATTATTTCTAAACTATACAAGATATCGAAAAACTGGTTACTGATCCTAAAAGTGCTTCACAAGCTCTTTCAAACGGTACCAATAATAGGTTACAGAATAAACTGGAACTATCCGAAAATTCAATGTTTTCAGCTACCATACTAAATGTATGCCAACCACACAATATTAGAAGTGTAATTTATTTTTTGTTAAATAATAAACTTAAAAAGTCGGTTAAATAAACTCGTCACTTGCATCTTATTTAAAATTATTTGTGGAAAACATTAGTTTTAGGCTTTACTTGCTATAATATTATCAAGATGCCATGACTGTGATAGTACTAAATGTATGGAAGATAGAAAAATTTAATTTTTGGATAGATCCAATTTATTCTGTAAGCTATTGTTGATACCGTTGGATAGAGCTTGTGAAGCACTTTTAGGATCAGTAACTAGTTTTGCGATATCTTGTGTAGTTTTTAATATTATGTAACTTTACCAAATGTATGAAAGCTGGAAACATTGAATTTTCGGATAGTTCCAGTTTATTCTGTAACCTATTATTAGTACCGTTTGAAAGAGCTCGTGAAGCACTTTCAGGATCAGTAACCAGTTTTTCGATATCTTGTATAGTTTAGAAATAATCGAGTGAGATCACTTATCGTTTCCACCCTGTATAACCACTATGTTGATCTTGGCACAATGCATTATTACTAAGCACAAGTTACGGTGTAGTTGGGTCAGATGACGTCACTATGTCATGCGACAATCTACAGGGGGTAAAGAGTGAGTAGTAATGCTTTATGGTTGTAAAGAAGCGAACTGCAAAAGAAAATTGTCTGAAAACGCAAATTTTGTTTCCAAACAAAATTAAAAAAACGTGTGTTAATTTTAACTCTTAGATTCTTTACATGTTAAAATACTTCTAATATAGGTACACTGTACACACACACTATAAAGTATCTCAATGCTCACTATTTTACACCCTGTATAATGTAAGTTCCACTCCCAATGAATGCTATAAAGCGTAATTTTTAGCCTTTTTCAACCAACCACTAACTGATCTTCATGAGATCGTCAGTCTATCGAGCAGGTAGGCTGTCTTGTCATACATTATGATTGCCGTAGTCTCATACAAAAACCTTTAATATCATAATTAGTTTTGTAAAAGAACAACGCATTTAGAACTTTATAGCGCGCGATGTTTTACCGCGAACCAGGAGTGCTGTGTCTCCCGTGACTGCCACTAGCCCGCTCCGCCGCTCGCCCCGCCTACGCACACCGCGCTCATAAACTCCGGCGCCCCACGTCGGCCAGTCCGTCTCAGAAAGGCAAACGGTGCGCGCGTCACGAGCCGCGGGGCCGGCGCATTTTGTTTCTCACTGTTATTTTGTCTTTTCTGCTTGTAACTTGTAAAATCTACTTGTGTCACGTTTATAATATTGTCTATAGTGAATAAACCATTTAAACCTACTTATACGCCTATAACTTTCATTTCAACATAATTAAAAGCTTAAAATGTGATACAAGTGTCCATGTTCCAGCGAAGGGAACAATGGAATACCGTCAAAGCCGTTCAATAGTATAATCATTAGATTGGAAACCAGTTAATAATCCCGTTAATAGAAAGGCTAATGGATATTACACTGAATACCTTCATTTCATTCAGATGTTAACGTTGAATAGGTGTTGGGTACTTTATAAACTAGGCACTAGCTTTTGCCCGCGGCTTCACCCAAGTTCATTTCAGTATATTGTCGGCCGTTTGGTGTAGTGGTTCGAAACGGACTACTATTCCGGGGGTAGCGGGTTCGATTCCCGCACGGTACAAACATTTGTGTGCATGAACATATTTGTTTGTATTGGACTGGGTGTTTTCTATGTATAATATGTATGTATTTACAAAAAAAAAAATATAAGTATGTTTATATCCGTTGTGTAGTACCCATAGTACAAGCTTTGCTTAGTTTGGGACTAGAAGCGCAGTGTAAAATGTCCAAGAATATTTATATTTAGTATGTCACAAACGCCCGTATTCACAAATCGAACGCACAGCGTTGAATAGAGCTCTGTGATTGGTTCGTGTGTCACCCGGTGCAACCACGCGCACTGTGAGACCTCATAGCAATGTTTGTGAATATGGACGAAAGTGTAAAGAAACTAGGCTATTAGTCTATGTTCATCAGTAATAATGTTGAATTAACTATAATGGTGATAAAGAGTTTTTCAATTCGCTCCAGTAGTTTCGTAGTCTATTCAATATAACCAAACAATCAAAACTGTTCTCTTTATAATTAAGTATAGATAGAGGTATAATTAGGTCCATTATGGTTCACATAAACGCATTATTTCCAGCTGAAGAAAACCCACCTCTATTGTAGGTAACGATGATTAAAATGTTGGTCCAAACATTTTTTAATTGGAAAAATACCTGCTTGTTTTCCTAGACATGCTTCTAAGAAGTTAGGTATTACAAATACCTATCTTAGAATCTCACAATATCGAATTCCAGATAAAATATGTAAGAGCAAAATTACCTTACAAGATTGGATATTCCATCTAATTTGATAAGGGGAAGAACCAAATTGAATGTATTTTAAAATATGTACACCTAACACCCAAGACGACATCTGGGGGCAATTTGGTGGAACTCAAATTACCTGAATTTATCAGAGAAACCGATAAAATCTCTAATGGCTAATGAAAAAATGGGAATATAAATTCTAAGCAATATTTCAGGAAGGCGCCATTGATAATGTTGAATCGCTATAGTATTTTGAAGTAGGTAGGTTCTTTAATACTATTCTTTTGTCTACGGTTTTGGAGATGAATGAGTATTTTTCTAATCCCAATTCGTAACGAAAATAATTGTTTACCTGATAAGATGGTAGGAAAAGATTGTCTTTAATCATCGATTAACGAATTTTGAATTTAAAGCTTGTTTTTGTTTTCCCTTTTTTTTCCCTAGCGGAAACTTTCAAGAACTTACTTCTTAATTTTTGTTAACGCGCTCACTAGTGAGGACTTTTGATGTAAACTCACACTAAGCCCTCAGGTAATATTCTATATATATACTAGGCTATCCTATATACTAGGCTCCTTCAGTATATTAGAGCTATGGAATGTGATGTCAAACGTCAGCGAAACTTCAGGTGTGCTTCAGACATTTTGAGAGATCTGTTACTTTCAAATCTCGTACCGGTCCACTACCACAGGGACATACTCAATTTTGCGCTGTACCTATAGTTCTTCGTTTGTTTTCGGCAAATGACGTTCATTGCTGAACAAAGGCCACCCCCAAGGATCGACCGGTCCTGTGCTGCTAGCATCCAGGTGCTTATCGTTCCTTTACCTTCACCAGATCGTAGGTCCACCTAGTGAGGGGCCTGCCCACACTTAAGAACTTTTCTGCCCCAGCGGCCATCAGCTCTCCGAGCTATGTGCCCCGCCCACTGCCACTTGATTTTAGCAATTCTGCGGGCTATGTCAGTCACGTTGCGACGACACGACGTAAAAATAAAATAAGTTAAATTGTCAATACTTTATTCCACGACACATGGACGGACACCAGAGGGGTAGTTGTGACGTCATACTTTACTCCACGTGATCATTCTATTGTTCGGGACCTCTGGCGGCGGGGTTGATTGAACACTTTTCTTGTACGCGAATATTATTAAAATGTCGTGGCACATAACAGCTGCAACAAAAAACATTATCTAAAAACACGGCCCTAAATCATCATAATGACATTACATTTCAGCCACAGGACGTCTACTGCTGAACATAGGCCTCCCCCAATGACTTCTATATCGCCAGGTTGGTAGCGGTCTGCATCCATCGCCTTCCTGCTACCTTTATGAGGTTGTCGGTCCACCATGTGGGTGGATGTCCCACGCTGAGTTAACAAAAACAATAATAGTGGATAGTAAACGACAATAATTACGTATTGTGCAAATAGTCAAATAGTGCATTTCCAGCCAATAACAACATTAACAAAAGCAAAACAATCTTGTTTTGTTTGATTCCATCTATCCTGCCCATAGTGGGAGGATAAACTTTTAAAATATTCCGAAATCACTGGGTTTCCCGATTTGTTATTCAATCAGTCCGAGACAGTTCCCGAGGGCGCTGTAATTCTCAAGATAAACCTGTAAAGCCCACTTTCGGCTAGTTTAATATTTATGAGAAAATATTTGCGTATTACGCAACATCTTGAATAGGGAATTGCATATTTTATTATTTACATATGCGCGTCCCACGCTGCGCCTTCCGGTACGCGTCGTTCATTCCAGAACCTTTCTGCCCCATCGGCCGTCAGTTCTGCGTACTATGTGCCCTGCCCATTGTCACTTCAGCTTGCTAATCCGTCCACCTACAAGGTGGACCGACGACATCGCAAAGGTAGCAGGTAAGCGCTGGACGCAGGCCGCTACCAATCGATCAACGTGGAAAGCATTAGGGGAGGCCTATGTTCAGCAGTGGACGTCCTATGGCTGACATGATGATGATGATGATGATATATGCGCGTAACTCGATCGGAACAAAATGTAACTAAATACACCAAACAAAAAGAGGAAAGAGGGAAATACATAAAACAGACTCTACGAGTAATATGAAGCGATATACGAGTAAGATAAACTCTTACTAGATAGGAACATTAAAAATCGTCAGCGTCACTAAGCGGAAATCTTAAGCTAAATAATTTTATCTATTTTATTATCTACTTCAGAACCATATTATCCTTTTCAACGCCAATGACGGATATATGCTTACATCAGGTTTTTTTTTTATGCATAACAAGGCAGGTATTTGACCACAATCGCAGCTGATGTTAAGTGGGATGCGGTCTAGGATGGTACATATCTGCCCTGTAAGTGCCTATTCACTACCGTGGTTGACCGCCAACGACGGATTAATCCGCCTTAAAAATGATGTCAGTAATAGGCTAATTGAGTATTATGTAAACTGAATAATGATGAATACAATGATTATATTGATATCATATTTATCAAGCGTGGCGTCCAGAGTGATGGCTTTTGTATTTGACATGCGCTGAAAAGGTTAAGGTGTGTTGCTGTTGTCTACATCATATTATTATGTTTACAGTTTTCATTAACTATTACAGTTATTTGAACTTACTGATTAAAGAAATTGCCATGATCGCAAAGAAGACTGCCAAGAAGAAGTGTATCGTTATGTGTCCGTTCCTTATGAAGTACACGCCACCCATTACACCCAGCACTGTGTTGTATGAAGCCAGTATTAGGCAGAGCCATAGTCCTAATTCTAGCACACATAGCTTTTCCTGGAACAGAAGATTGACTTAATTTAGTAATTTCATTACTCGTGTAGAGAAGGCCTAAACGAGTCTCCTTACTTACTTTATTATTAAAACTGAAAGCGTAGGAGGTAGGAGGACTCTTAAGTGAGTACTCTGTGTAAAACCCAGATTTATATTTGCCTGACATGTTGTGTCGCGGCGCATCAGAACCGTTCTGATAGAATATAAATCCGACTTAATGCGGCAATCAAAGATTACTCTCCAAATTTTTTTTATTATCCACAACGAGGAAGCTCTTGGCCTGTTATCTCACCTGATGGTAAGTGTGATCAGGTCGAAGGTGGAACGAGCTTCACCCGGAATCCTCAACCATGGCTATCTTACCTCTATCTATCGGAACACAATAATGCTGTTAACATTGTTTTTATGGCGACAGACTTAGGTAAGATGGTAGTAGCTAGCCAGGCGGACTTAGAACAAGCCCTACTACCAACCAAACCGAACAGAAAAATCTTCCCCCACTGGGAATTGAACCCGGGACCTCTGCGTCTGAAGCAGGCGGTCTTACCACTAGACCACAGAGGTGGTTGATAATATTATATTCGATACAGACGAAAATACCCTCTCTTGATAATGTTGATTCGCAGTGAGATTTACTAAGTAATGATTACAAAGTAAATTAATCCGTTTACAATTTCACAGTCACAATTAAAATTTCCGCGAAAGTTGTTGTGTGTTTATCATTCAATGAAGTGATCATGCACCTTGCTTGTAATGAGAAAAACATAATTATTATTGAACTACTAAGTGAAAAACGAATATAAATGAAACCAGGAATTGTAGGAATGTGCGCTTTACCAATCCAAAAAGGGGATCCAAAAGATTGTTAGTATTTGCTCAGAGAAAGGGTAAAGCCAGAAACAAAGGACAAGTCAAATTAATACAATGCGCATATTTCGTTCCAGTTTACGAACTACATACCTCGACTTAATAAACGAGCACCGTAGAACTCCAGTAAAATAACTTCTCTAAAGATCCTTACGTTTCCAAACAAATACAGATTTAAAGTTGAAATTTTTGCCGGTATGGCAGCGATTGCTGGATGGTCCTAACAAGATCCTAGCTGGAGGCGCGCCCAGTCAAAGGAGTGTATGCGCATGTTTTACTTTGAAAGTCCTCCTTGCCCTCTGGCATGTTAGGAGCACAATGAAGACAGTTTCAGTAGGTTGTGTAATAACGATGGTTGAACGAGAGACCGACAATATTTGATATTACTTCAAAACTGATGGCCTTCGTCACCGTGGGCCACGGCATATGCTGAGTGGGGTCCCGTTGCAGTGGGCATTTTGTTGGTGAGTGGGTGGCACTGCTCAGTTTACTCTTGTTTTTATGTTTTTTTCTTCCTCCATTATTATGTGCCACTGTCATGTCTATGTAAATGCCTGTATTTGTGTGATGTTCATTGTAATAAATGTATCTTTCTTTCTTTCTTTCAAAAGCGGAAGAATGATTTGACAAAGAACAAAATACAAAATTGTTTATTTCATTACAAAAGTACTTAAATAACATACAGGGTTTGTAGTTTCCTTTTAAGCATACAGTTGCTTGTGTTAGTCAACAAAAACATTTTCATGACAACTGTTGCTAAAACGAGAGCATATGGCTCGAACTGTCAAAAAGTTATCATATCTCATGTAGAGCCAAGCTTTTAACTCTAAACACCGTATCAAAATGTCAAAATTGTGGTTTTTATGACGTGACGTCAATGTGTCTTTATAAAAAAAGATTCTTTTATTGACCATTACATAAATCAAATTCTACCTAAATGTTAGTCATTCTTCTTTGTACAGTACTAAATAATAAAATTTTGTGAGAAGGGAGCCTACCTTATCAATATTTACTATATTCCTCATGTCATACAGTCAGGGCACATTCAGCCTTAGAAGGGTTAAACTTGAACATGATACAATATTCAAGTATTTTGACTCAATAATAATTATGGTACTAACTAATACGTAGTTTTTGACCAATTTATACATAATTACATTGGACAATTAAGTTGATTCCAGCTAAATGGCTGCAATAACGATAGCATTTTCTAAGCTAATGATTCGTACATAACACATTCAATTGCACAGTTATTGCAATGAACGGGTAAATAGGTCAACATGGTTAATAACACTTTCATTAGTATTTCCTATGTGAAATTAATACCCTATGTTTGTACAAAACATGTTTAAGATGCGTATTTGCAGTTACAGAAATTCTAACAGTATAAGATCGTCCATGATATTATTGACAGTCGTTCTTGGCCAGTAGCGATGATGCATGGGTAGTGTGCTAAAATTCTGTTAGAGAGTAGTGACCAAGAGAGGGCTAGAGGTTACATTTGGCGCATGATGCAGTGATGCAATAGACGACCTCTAGACATATCTAATTTTTCCTAATGAACCTTAGCCACCAGATACGGGAGTGTTTGGTGATGATCAAAGAATCCAATTCGTATTGGCGTTCTCCTGGGATTCAACGTCAATACGTTGCGACTATAAGATCTTAGTTCATTCCTGAAACACCTGTTCAGTCAGCATTGAGTGGCAAATATAGCAGTGCAGAAGTCTAAACAATCTTATTCGATAGTCTTACAATAGCTTATGCAGCATGGAAACTGTAGCACATTTTCACTTCATTTACCTACTACACTAACTCCTTATTAACATAGTACTTACATTATGTCGTACTTACATCAACAGCGCCAAGGAACAGAATGAGTCCATGAAACACTTGAGCGGGTATCATGACCAGTAGCATTATTTTCAGCACGGTTGACATATGCCCTTTGCTGTTGACATGGACGAGAAAATATAGTATCGCGTAGCATACTACTGAGGTCTGAAAATAAGTAGGCTATTAATGTCCCAATAGACAAATGAGATGAACTTGAAATCATTATGAATTGCTCAATGAAAACACTGGTTGGTTGGCAAAAACAACTTAAAAGACGTTATGTTGTCCTGAAGTGGTGGGTAGGGCAAGGTATATTTGAGACGTATTTTTCAAAAATTAACTATCCTGTAGGTGCATCACTTTATTTAGAACAAAGCCTTGGTAAATATGTGTTACCAGATATCATCACAAGATGATAATGTTGATGCTTTCAATAGTTGTGGATTGTAACCTCAACAGGGACATTTTTTGTGATGATTGTGTTATCTAATAGCTTTCAGCAGATCTACTTACTTTTAACTAATAGATAATCTAAATTGTTAGCAATGATATTAATTATAGCAGTAACAAACAAACATACAACTTTCACCCATCCTATACATAGCACAGCATGCCTCAATGCCTTCTTTCTCAAATTTAATTCCTCCTCACTCAACGGCCTGGTGCATACAACCGTGTCTACCATCATCTTGCTTGATCAAATACATTAAAAACTTGCAATTTTATCATTCGGCTTTTGTGTTTGTTTATTTGTAGGCAGTGACAAAATTTTGACTGACATAAGGTGACGTTTCGATTGTGTTAAAAAAGTTATTTGTACTCTCTGGTTTTGAAATAAGGTTATGATTGTTATTTGAACTTTTGCTTTACTTTGCTTTTAGTTTAGGCTCGGTTTCCACCAAGGTTGAGCGGAGAAGCGTCGGCGGATTTTTTTTATAGAATTTGACTGTCGCGGCAAGGCGGCGCCACAAGCGGCGCTGAGTGGAGTTGCGCGGTTATTCATAACCAATCAGACAAAGGCATATCAAGCTTAACACTGTGGGATTTTGTGTATTTGTATTAAGAGCAAAGCAACAATAATGTGTTGTCTGATGTGCTGTCGTTTGTAGGTAGGTACTTGTAATTTCGATAAAGGTGGTGATAAAGCGAATAGGTTTCCAAAAGGTGGTAGCCCCAACCGCCGCGGGATTATTCATAACCAATCAGATTTCATTATTTCCACTTTTTTTCTCCGCTCCGCTCTGCTTTGGTGGAAACGGGCCTTATATTATAAGCTAAGGCCCACTGAGCAAATAAATCACTAATTTGGAAAAAGTCCTGGCATTAAGTAATCCGAAAAATCTATGACAGAGTTTGATCCCGGTTCTCCTGCATAACAGCAAATCATAATTGTTTAAAAAACACAATTTATAATTTACAACGCGAACGTGTTACTTAATGAGAATTAATTTGATACAGATTCCCACCAAATGTTAATTTCTCGCAAGTTATCCCGTTCCCCGCACAATGTACGCGTTCTTGAGTATCAAGTGACTCGATTAACAAGGTAAACGGTTCCAGGAAATGCAACTAGTATAAAAGTTGTTCGGAACTCCTGGAGCGGCAAGGAGAAGAACTTAAATCAGCTTTAATTTCATTTTACCTGGTAATATTAACAAAATATTATGTAGTTATTAAGTCGTTGAAGACCCAACAGGTACCTACCTAATGCATAAACTGCAGGGAAATAATGTATTTGTATTAAGAGAGTCAAAATCAAATTACATTTTACACATCGGAAGTCCATATTCTGGAATAAAAATGATATTATGATTTGATTTGACATTATACTTACACAATAATAATTTACATAGATTTTTGTTAACCTTATTTTCTTTAAAACTATTATTTTTTTACAAAAATCTAAGTCAATTTTTCATCTTGATTCCGTAAAGACCTCACATTACTAACTATCAAAATGGCCATAACATTACCACTATGAATAATTTACTACCAGTTTGTAGCTAAGCTTCATTGATTACTCAAGTAAGTCCTGCTTACATACTTAACGTGTTTAACTTGTACAACTCCACGTAGTTCCATTCATGGAATCTTGATATCAAGAGATACTTCCTCATGTTGATTTTGGAATCTTCAGAGTATAGAATGGCAGAGTGAGTTGGTTCTAAGAACTGTGGCAAAGTGGCAGTTCCGAAGAGGGATTTGAATGTTTGAGGTATGTTAAGATTTCCTGTTACTATTAAGGGGGTCCTGCACAGAATCCTTAAAATTGACATATTTTTAAATCACGAGTGCTCTGCGATTAGTGACTTAAATACATCAAAGGAACTTGTGTAGGGTAGCCCAATCCTTGATCTAGGTCGCCGCCTTTTCGAAATTTTGAATAAATACGTAAAAAATTGATAAACAACATTTAAAATGCAGACATATGGAAAATTTATTTCTTCGAGAACTTTGTTAATTTAATGTATGAAGCAATAATTTTTATATGGAAATGTTTAAATTAATATTTTGAAGGTCGCCCCCTTTTTCGTTTTTGGTATTAATGCATTAATATTGAGAATTTTTGATTTTCCCAAAAAAACTTTGCCGTGAAGAAATCATCAGGCGTTTTGCTTTATCGTAGCTGTCAAGTGTCAAATGTGTGTTTGTCAATCCTTTACAGAGTAGTGTAGAGCGCAGAGCATGCAAATAGTATCTCTTTTGTTATGACTTCGATTGTTACGAAAAAATATTTTACTTATTTTATAGTTAATATGGCTAGAAAACCCTTGCAACCTTTCTTTGCCGTTCGTTCGTTTCAGCCGAAAGACGTCCACTGCTGGACAAAGGCCTCCCCCAAGGATTTCCACAAAGACCGGTACCGCGCCGCTCGCATCCAGGTACCACNGAATGAAAAGACGCTACGTTAACAACCTATTTGAATTGAACGTCTAGGAAAAATACTCTTTTACGAAACTTTTTTAACGCCTTTGTTCATCAGAAGAATCAATATTAGTTAGGATTTTTATTGTGTACAATAATTTTCGCAGCAATACCAACAAAAAAATTAATCCTTTCTTTTTCCTAATTAAAGTATTATAAACTCACGTTTTGTTAAGCAAAATTAGTGAAATACGTGTTTTTACTCTGTATTGAGTCTCTTTTGTCTCTACTCTGTAAAGTAGTTCGTGTGCGATCGTGTTAGTTCGTTGCGCCACCGCTATCTCGGCTAGCAAATCGTAATTTTTCGTCGGCGCTGCACCCCCTTAACATTTAAATATTTGACAAGATATTGCTCGGCTATTTTCGTGGATTTCAGTACCCGTCTAACGCCTGTATTCACAAACATTACTATGAGGTCTCACAGAGCTCTATTTAACGCTGTGCCTTCGATTTTCTGCTACACTTAAGCAAGCATCGTTTGTGAATCATCATCATCATTTCATAGGACGTCCACTCCTGAATAGGCCTCCCCCAATGATTTCCACAAAGGGCAGTTGGTGGCGGCCTGCATCTAGCGCCTTCCCGCTACCTTTATGAGGTCGTCGGTCCACCTTGGTGGACTCCGTTGTGAATACGGGTGTTAGAATGCTTAAAACGGAATGATCAATATAAATATTGCTTTTGGCTAAAACTAAAATGATTATGGCCATAATGAATTATTTACGGAAGTCTGGCGTAGACTTTGGCGATTGATCCCTGTACAAGGTTAGATTTTAACCCCACATCAGATGAACCTACATCTATTTTTCACAGAACTGCATTATAAATGAATGCAAGACTTCTACAAGTAAGCCCGTTCTATTTAATCTCTTACTGATTTCTTGTCTGACTGAAGTCGACTCGCGTACATTCCACGTATCCAAATGGCGCACGAGCGCTCAGGTGTGAACTCTATGTACTGACAAAGGCACATAAAGCTTAACACTGTAGGATCTTGTGCAGTTGTATTAGGAGCGATTATTCAACAGTAAAGGGTAGTCTAATGTGCTCTGTGTATCTGTCGTTTGTACGTGGTATTTCGATACAGGTGGTAGATCGAATAGTTTTAGAACATTGGTTTCCAAAAGACAGCCCCCGAGTGGGCGACGGCGCTTTTCAGAGGAGGTAGTGCGTCTAAAGCCAAATAGGGGGCGTTATGATTTTTATTTGTGTGCTTCGCCATTCCTGACTAATAAAGTAAAGAAGTAATTATAACTAACTTTTACATATAAATCGGCTGAAAAGATAAGTTTAGTTTATTTATTTATTTATATTAGGGAAACAAACAATTTTGATATACAGACAAATAATCACACAAAAAAAATAGGACAGAAATCAGCAAAGTTTCCACAGTTAAAATTAATACAGAGTGCAGACTAAAAATTAATTAAATAGTAATAAATTATACATTAATTTCTTAATGTCAAATAAATACAATGTCAATTTTATAAAATGTCAAACAGTTAAATTTAATAAAAATTATAAAATGTCAAAAAGTTAAATATTGAAACCGAAACAAATTGTGAAATACCTCAATGTTCAGACATTTTAATGACATGAAAAGTAGGATAAATAAGTATCTTTCGTGTAAATGGGGTAGTACATAAAATGTTGGGAACGTCTAGTTTAGAACTTGGGCCAGTATAATGCTTTGGTAAATACCTACTTAATTACTTTAGTTATGGCGTAAAGTGAGCTTGCAATACATCATTACCAGTATTATACAGTTCTAGAGCTGTGGGTATAAATTTGTAATTTCGAAAAAGGTAGACCTACCTATCCAGTGGATAGCTTAAACTTAGATTAGTATTTATTCGTAACTAGGTAAATGGATTAGGTAAGTTATGGTTTTAAAACTGAGTTACGCTAGCTAACTTTGAGAGATTTTGACCGTAACTTTGACGATAACCGCTGTGTTTTTTGTATGGACTTTGACAGATTTTTGGCGTTTGTTAAAGTTAAAGTAAAATGGACCCAAGTATTTTGTGTTAAAGTAATGTCAGATTAATATCGATACTTGTTTAGAAAGAAATAAACACGATGAGGAATTTAAGTAAATAAGTTCAAGAATACATAAAATTAAACTTTATTGTACCTACTCTCATACATATATTTATATACTGATCCAACGACCTCATAAAGGTAGCAGGAAGGCGCTGGATGCAGGTCGCTACCAACCGGGCGATGTGGAAGTCATTGGGGGAGGCCTATGTTTAGCAATGGACGTTCTGTGGCTGAAATGATGATGTACCTACTCATATGTTCTCTAAATCATTATTTTACTTAGTATGTAGACACATTTTTACTTAAAATGATAATGAACAATTAGATAGCAGATCTATTATAGTACTTTTAAAATCTGAAGTCTGCACCGGTAAGATAATTCTACCATTTTCCACACTGAAGCTCAAAGTTTCAAACGAATTGGAACCTAAATGTTTTAATTTAGCACACCAAATCCCTTGATAAGCCCCGATGCAAAAATTAATTCAATTTAATACGCTGACTTCGCACTTCGTTGCTACTTAAACGATGCAAATCCTGACCAATAATTGCTAAACTTCGCCGCCATGTTGGAAACTTTCGAGATTGGTTTTTTTACCGACTTCAAAGTGTCTTGAGTAAAATGTATTCATATTTAAAAGGTACGTTTAAATCTAAATAAGTACTTAAGTTCTCAGCAAAGTTTGAGATAAAACTGGTTGAAAAATTAAGGGAGCGATTTAATTTTAAGGGTTAGTTTTTGTTAGAATAAAATAGAATTATTTGCATGGTGTT